GTTTCAAATGAATAGAGAAGAATACGCAATAGATGAAAAAACATATGAAAATTATGACGGATTAAAAATAAAGATAATATTTTCTAATCTAGGAAGAAGATATAAGAAAATAGGTGATAATCTAACAACTTATAAATGGTATAAGAATAACAAAAGAAAATGAAAGCTTAGAATATACACTACAACACAACTTATAAATGGGTATCAGAGCTATGGAAGTAATTTAAATATATTAAATTTCACATTTACAATTGAAGTAATAAAAACTGGATAATATTTTCGAGTATATTTTTTTATTTACAAACTTAAGTCAATTTATAACATAATAGTTATTTAAATAAAATAATTTATATTTATCCAAAGAAAATCTTATTCAAAACAATTTATAACTTAAAAGTGAATTGAGTTATATGTTATTTAAAGTTAAAAGAATTAAAATAACAAACTTATTTTTACTTTAAATAGATTTAAGAGGAAACTACATAAATGGGCCTCAAACAACAAAATAATTTACATTTTCATAACCCAGCCCAAACTGATTCAGCAAACACCCATCGAAATATATTACAACTCATGTCCCCCTTGAGTTTAGGTCCAATTTCCCCATCCAAGCCCAACTCCTTTCATCATTAATTTAGACTTAAGGAGACTTAATTACATTGTTTAACTAAAGAGACTCTTACATACAAAATGATTTGTCCGTGCTCTTGGTGATTCTCTTCCGGCAATTTCAGTTTCAAAAATAAAATCGTCAACTTGTTGTAGTTCTTCCTTCAATCCACTTCATTGTATTCATTTTGGTTACAATAATCTTAATTTTGCTTCTTCTTTTTAAAATTTTTTAACTTTGTTTCTTATGGCTTTTTGTCTTTCAAACTATTTACAAATGCGTCGTAAACACATAGCAACAACTCGTTGATGGGGTCATCGTATTCTTGATTCAAGTATATTTGACAATGATTATGATAATATAAATGATGAAGAATCAAGGATTTCTGCACTGTCTGGTTCAAGCTTTTCTTTGCAGTTGAATGTCAACACACCAGAGGTTAATGTTGGAACTCAGGCTGATCCAGTTGTTGGTGGTGTAAACCTTGATAATGTGGGTGGTGGAACCCTTGATGATTTGGAAAAGAAAGGAATGTCGCCCATGGTGGATTGTGATCCCATTGATGAATAATTGAATATATATAATGGTTTAATATCATTGACTAATGAGTAGGGTGTGAACAAGAAACTTTAACGATACCACAACAATATATGTATACTCTTATAATATCAATAACTAATGAATAATTTCTAAACAAGAAACATAAATGATACCACAACAATATATATATATTTATATATGTGTGTGTGTGTGTGTGTGTGTGTGTATACATACATAATTGCACAATATCAGTTAAGCAAAATTATTAGTTGGGGCATTTATCGTAATTATTTAGTGAGATATCAATGTAAGGAGGTATATGTAGGGCTGGATGTTCAGTCGGTTCAATCCGATTTGTAAATTTTGATTTGATTTGATAAAAATGTGAAACCAAACCAAATTGAAATAAATTTGATTCGGTTCGATTATCACAAATTCAATTTGATTTAGTGCGATTTGATTTTCAGTTTAGCTTCATTGAATAAATAGTGATACATTTTCAAAATTCAACTGTTTAATTTTTTCAAACTCTCAAGTTCTTACAAGTCATATCCAATTGTACTGCTTTGCAGATGTTTAGACAGTTCAAGAAAAGTTTAAAAATTGATGACTTTGGAAGATTTTTTTATAAATTGATACCATTGTATATAAAGCTTATCGTTATTCCTTATGACTTCAACAAAGTCAATTTCCGCTCCTTCTTCGTTTGTCACCAATGCATCTTTTGCATCAAAACCAAACCTCTGGCCTATAAAATAGATAATGTTAGGATTGTGGAAGAATTAAAAATAGAAAATAATTTGCTTGAAAAGCTATCTGCAATGCCTTTTGAGTTTTGCAAGTGAATCGGGAAGCGTTATCAGCCTTCCTTCCAGGTTCATTGTACTGACTTCTTCTCCTGACATCAGAATGACCTCTATATATGTAAACTCTTGTTTTTTTGTTCTTGTTCATGCCACTTATGATCAACTTCACCCATAGACGACCTAGCCTGAGCACTGAACAACGATTGCCTGAAACTTAAGAGTAAGTCGAGTGTCGACTCAAAAGTTTAGGGATTTTAGTTTTTCAATTTCAGATTTGGGAAAACTGGGCCACATTTGAATATGGGTTGTGGGCTTAAGTAATTTAGTTAAGGCTTGTATATTGTAGGGTGTAAAGAGTATATATATAATTTCAGTTTTTGGGTTAACCAATTTAAATTAGCTAAAAAACTGAAATTTTAAAATTTGAAACCGAAACCGACCGAACAAACTGAAAAATAGAAATAGAAATTAATTTTTTGTTTAGTTCGGTTGGTTTTTTTGGTTTAACTATATTATGCCCAGCCCTAAGTATATGTTTGTAATAATTTGAATTTATGGAGCATTTGCTTAGTTTCCCAATTTAAGGATGCTTCAATCAATTTAGCAGAAAAAAGTTTTTAAACAGTTCTTTACCGTATGTATATTTTCAGCTTTAGCACTTCTATCCATACACAGTTGCTTAATCGTAAATTCAGCTCAACAAATTCTCACTAAAAGTTACTCAAGTCCACCTTAACCTAAACAAGCTCTAAAAGGACATTATACGCAACATGCCCAAACAACTAGCAAACAAAGGGGTCAGGTTGGGCAACGGGAAGAAAACCTCTTTCTGGAGAGAAGACTGGTTAGGGAATGGGCCTTTGATAGATCAATTTCATTATCTGTTCATTTTATCCTCCTTTCCTGATGCTACAGTTTAAGAACTTTGGACACCAAAAGGATGGAATATTGTATTCAGAAGGCTCCTTAATGATTGGGAGATCCCAAGAGTTACTGATCTCTTTGGTAAACTCGAAGGTTTCCCAGGCCTAAAGGAGGTGGAGGATTCTCTCACTTGGATAGGTGGCACCAAGGTTGTTTTCTCTGTGAAAACAGCTTACAACTACTAAATGAATTTGGAGCATTTCAATGACCCATGGACATGGAAAGAGATATGGAAAGCAAGAGCTCCTTTTAAGGTGGTTTGCTTTACTTGGCTAGTTGTTTGGAAAGCTTGTCTCACTCATGATAAACTTCAAACAAGGGGTTTTCATCTATGTTCTATGTGTTTTCTATGCCATCATTCGCTGATTGCTTTTCCTTGTGGATAGAACTCCATTCTAACATATAGACATACCTTTTAGAGATTCTCCAATTTCTTCACGTGGCTCCACTAGATGTCAGGTTCTCCATGTTGATAGATAACCTTATCCACGTCCCAGCTAGCTCAACCTTTCTAACATGCGTGAATAACTTTGCATGTCTCATCTCATATAAGGATCGTCACCATTCAAAAGAGGAGAAGTCTTCAAAATGATTGACAACAAGACAGGATCAACTTGAGATCGCAGGCCAGTTGCTTCCAATAATTTAGAGTGCTGGATGATCTCTAATGAAATACATTAGCAATCCAGTACGGTATATTGTTCAAGAACTAATAGTAAGCTCAGAAATTTTTCATATGCAAGTGATCTAATACACAACGAAGAGGTTTCCACCAAGCTTGGTTCATCTGATATTAGCATTAACAACATTATACAAATGAATGGATCCTTAAGTTTAAGCAGATGTGACCAGAAGAACGTTAATTGAATACTGAATACATATTTCAGTTAAGTGGTTCTTTTCTGTTGTGATAAATATCAAAAGTTTACCTCACTAACCCATGGCAGTTGAGTATTCTAAGAAAAGCTTAGTCATACCAAAATCATGGAATGTGAAGGACATGGAGGATCGACAAATACAGAGTACACAGAGCAGAACCTTTCCTGATGGCTTCAAGTCAAGCTCTAAAAAATAACATGCAAATGGATGTGTGAGTGATTGTACTTTCAAAGCATTTAGGGAAATAACTTAAAAGCAGACACATGTCGATGCAGGTGCAATGGAAGTCAGATGATTCTCCATGCTCTCTTTTCATAGATTATATCAACCCAAATGTACTTGCTACTTTGAGTAGTACAACTACCAAAGGTTCGTTTTCCATATTTTGCTTACAACAAAAACTACTCTAGCATGACTTGTTCACTGCTTTCTTCTCTTTCATTTCAGAAATTACAGTTAAACTACCAGATAAATGAAGATACCACTTGGTTTAATTTAAATTTCCAGAGCTCAAAGCAAAGGACTTGAGTCTTGACATTCATAAAAGATTTTGAATTTGTTTCCTCATGGGAATACATCATAGTTTTTAACCAAAGTTTCAGGCCATGCTGAGGTGCCACTTTATAAGGTCATCCCAACTTCTGAATAGAATTCCAAAATTAGCCTTAACAATGTATTTTGAAAAGAAAGAGTAGTTTATGGAGAAAACAAATCATTTACCAGTATCGAAAAGAATGGCCCCAAATAAGGTAGAATGGATATATGAGACTCATAAAGCTGATCCCAACTAGTCCAATATCTAGGCATGATTGATTGTTGGAAATAAAAGGATAACAGAGTTGTGGCTCTGACAGAGCACGACTTTTCCTCTTCCAGAAGTATACCAATTTGTGGTGTTCCTCTCAAATGTAACATCCGATGAGCTACAAATCAAAATCACCTCACAATGTAATCTTCATTTTTCAAGTTATTCAAAATTATGCAAGAATGTTAGGAACTTCAGTGTGACCATCTTCCAATGGTCAAAGCAACAGCTCCCCTAAACTTGTACCTCAGCCTGGTGTATTACCCAAAAAGAAGCAATTCATTTTCCTCCACTATTGATAGTGTTCTCTCGTCTTTGGAATGTAACAGTGTCTTCATTCTGGTGATCTGAATTGCCTCTTCTATTGGCATAAACATAAACATTACTACCAGATCCTTCAACTGCTTCCTTCGGAAGGACTATCAAGCGACTACACTCAACTGCTGCCAAGATATTTCTTTATCCCTTTTGCTTTCATAGCCGATCTTAGGTTGTTCGCATCGCTGCAATAACCAAAAAGATAAGACAAACTAGATGCAAGTACATAGTTTGATCTGAGATCAGACTCTATTTTGAGGAGAATCTCCCTTATATTTTCTTCTGCGCAAGGAATATGACCATGATGCTTACAAGCACTAATGAAACTCCTCAATATCACAGAATTAGGCTCTGTAGGCATGCTCCTTATAATATCATAAGCTTCTTCTAATTCTCCAGCATGTCCAAACATATCCGCCATGCATCTATAATGTTCCATAGTTGGCTTGATATTATAAGTACTTGCCATTTTTTCAAAATATTCACGGCCCGCATCAACAAAGCCAATATGACTACAAGCATATAAGATTGCAGAAAATGATAAACTATCCGGCCTAAAGCCAGATTCTTCCATTCTGGCAAACAAGGACACAACTTCCTCTCCTTGTCCATGATCAGCAAGACCAGAAATCATGATGGTCCAGGTCTGTAGATTTTTATCATCCATCGAATTGAATATGCGGAAAGCCTGTTGTATATGGCCAGATTTTGCATACATCCCCAAGAGGGCTGTTTCCAGCTCAACATGTAGTTTCAATACCATTGGTAACAATGTGCGAGTGAATACATTTACCTAATATGATATTCAGGATACGAGTACATTCCCCCACCAAGCTAACCAAAGTGACAGAATTTGGCTTTTCATTTGCTAGCTTCATTGGGCAGAGCATCTGAAGGCAAGTTACTGAGATATCCAGGAAAACATTGACTATTATGACTTTGAAAAGCCAGACAGAAAGCAAAAACCTCACAGTAAAAGTTAAATAGGAAAAGAAAACAGGAAAGACAATAATATTAATAGACCTCCTACACAAAAAGAGAGGTCAAGGTACCAAATATTCATTTGCATGCCAAAAAGGGATGAAAAGCGAACATAAAAGCCCATTAAATAGGTCCCTCTATATGATCAGATACAAACTATTCAATTTCTTCTACGTCTATAAAAGAATTGATTCACTATATGAAAAAAATGAGCATATCACATGTAGTGGAACTTGCTTAAGAAATTTATAGAATTCACTTAGGTGACATCCTAAATCATACTTGTATGATATCAAATGAAATTGAATAAGACGGGAAAGTATTGACAAAATGGTTGGAGACTTCATCAGGAGAAAGTCAAGCCTGCTTATATTTTGTCTATTGCTCCCTATTTCCTATTTATAAATGCAAAGCCCCTTATAATCTCCCATGGGAAAGACAAACTAACCATAATATCATTATAAAGTTGTTGTCCTTTCAACGTTTAATTCAAAGTTTATCTCTAAAGAAACTTAATTTTAGGATTTCTCTTTATTTTTCAGGTCTAAATTGCAGACAAAATTTGACATGGGAACCCATCCATATGCAATCTGGACAACTAAACAGCAACAGTGTTAGACTATTAGACCAAATTACTGTCCATAATCCACCTTAGCTTGTTAGTTTTAGAAATACTCATGACCATTGGAGCCACGAACTAGCTTCCTCTTTCCATGAGCCAGTTTTAGAATTCCCCATTTTAAATACCGAAATCTAAACCATGAAATGTTTCTTCATTTTCATTCCCTTATTTTTCAGGAGGACATGCTCCTTTCCAATTTAAAAGAAAAAAATTCCAACCCCGAAAATTTCCATCATTGTTAATCCCTGATTATTTAGGAGTGTATGCACTGCTCGCAATTTTAAAGGCTCAACACCTTATTGATCCTTTCAGATATGAACCCTAGGCGTCGTTTAACAATATATTGCAGTATTGCAGCAATAAGGAAAAGGAGAAAAAGCTAGACTAGTGAACAAGTTTGGAACTCCTTATTCAAGCTAATATATCCAAGTAATAGTAATACTGGTTTGTTCTTATGGTACAAAACACATATTCATAATCGACATCTGGGATGAATTTTAAAAAGTTCACCAAGAGTATTAGATCACAGATATCTGCTCAAGAGAACCACAAATACCATGGCACCGAATTTCTGAAGGATAACAAACAAGGTTACAAGCTAGCATTGTTCATAAAAATTGTGACCTATTATGTGTCGAACCTATCAAAAGACGTTTAACTTACAAGTTCCTCACAAAACCATACTTGAACTCGTTTCCACAAAGTAGTAAACTTGTCATGCTCAAAATCTACTTAGATTTTGGTAATTCTATTCACTCCCATTATAATTATCATCTTAAACAACTTCTACATAATGCTATAGAATCTCTCAATCTTCACACATTTGCCGGGTTCACAAATCATAAATAATGTACTGATTCCAGAGTAATCAGTAGATACATGAAATATCTTTTAGAAGGAGAAACTGTAAATATTAAGACAACAATTACTACTATCATGTTTGAATCACAAGTAGTTAAAGTCCGCTATATGATCCCTAATACATAGATTGTGATAATTAAGGTGTGAAATTCATATAAAAGGAGACGTTTGAGGTATTTAGAGGAGATGTTAACTGTATTTAATACTTTTTGAGAAAAATAATGATAAGTGAGTGATATCAACATCTTTTAAAAAAATTAAAGTGATTAGTGTAGGCAATTTTCAAAACATAAGTAACTATTTCGGAAAATAATATAAAGTTTATGTATCGGAAAAATTCTTAAACATGCAAATTACTTCTTGATAAACTAATCTATTCATTTAAAAACAAAGAATAAGATAACAATTTTAGTTAAGTAAATTTATTATTTAAAAAAGGCTCTAATGACATGGACTAAAGTGTTTAGTATTTTTTGAGGAAAATAATAAAAGTTAAGTGATATTTTTATATTAAATAAAATAAAAATGATACTTAACGATAATTTTCAAAACTTCAATAACCATTTAGAAAAAGAAAAGGGTTTAAAATACCTTCGAATTAATGAAAGTGGTACAAAGCTATTCTCTGTTCATCTATTGGCTCCCAAACACCTTTGGGTCTAATGTTGACCATTTTTGTAATCGACAATCATTTAAATAATTTAAATAATTTTTTAAAATATGTGCCGACCATCTATTGATTATATTTTAAATTATGTTGGTGTAGTATGCAGCAAATACAATATACACCAAAAATTACTTAATAACAAAACCGCTCATTCCTAATTATAATCGATCCAAATTAACTATGTTCACCCCAACCTAACTTAACCCAAAAACTGAGCTGCTTCGCGTGGTAGATATATAAAATATGACCAATTGCAAAAATAAATAACTGAAAAATTCCTAAGTCCAATTAGCAAAATCATTATTCATAAAGAGGGGTAAAGAAAAAAACAAAAAAGTTGTATATTTTATAATAAAATATTATAAATTATTATAGTAACAAGAATTTTATGTCATCGATCACCTACGAATACAAAAATCTTTAAAATTTTGTGAAAGCTAATAGAGAGATTTCTTCATCTTGAAAAGAAGAGTTGGAAAAACACCATGCATTTTCTGTAATAAACTGCATCCAGAGGAAATTTCATAAATAATAAAGAGATTAAATTTAATAAGCCTCTTTAGTTACAGTTTGTCTAATTACGCTCCATAACTATAGTTTGGTTTGTTATGGGTACTTTCGCTCGTATATTTTTCTTGCCAAATATTCAAACATGATAAATATATACAAATTTTATATTTATACATTTACGAATTTATCATAAACTTTACAAATCAAATGCATCAACAAATCATATACAAACCAGATAATTATATACAAATTATGAAATATGTAGTTATGAATTTTTCATAACTTATACAAATCAAATGTTTCAAAAAAAATTGTATATAAATAAGGTAAGCATATACAAATTCTACATTTATACAATTAGGAACTGAATTATATAAATTATGGACATGGTCCATGTAAATATAATTGTATTTTAGTGGCGAAAAGAAATTTCTTCAAACTATAACTATGTTAAATAATTAACTAGTATATATTTGCTTAGGCATATAATTTTCCCAATAATTTTAACTAATTTAAAATGTAACCAATAAATATTCGCTATATATTTAAAGCAAATATTAAAATTATTTAATTGATTAAATATATATATATATATATATATTCTATACTACCTTAAAAGCATTTATACTACCAAATTTGAATGTTGAATTACTATAATACGCCACTTAAAAGTACTCAATTTATTTATTTAATTAATTGTATTATATTAAAAGTAGATACTTTTTCATACTAAAGGCTTGTGATTTTTTCGATGAGTTGTGATCTTTCCAAATGGTTGTGACTTTTTCTAAGGGCTGTTATTTTTTCAAAGGGTTGTGCCTTTTCTAATGAGTTGTATCTTTTTCAAAGGATAGTGACTTTTTCGATGAACAGTGACTTTTTGAAGGGATGTGACTTTTCTGATAAGGAACAATTAGTACTTATTCATACAACTATTTGTTAGCTATAAATAGATGAGTTTCCTCTCACTTTTAAACTAAGATTTTTCAAAGTTTTCTACTCTTCTTCTTCTTAAGTGTTATTTGCAACAAATTATTAAGTTCGAAACTCAACGAAATTCGAGGTACCACATAAGAAAGAGTTGGTGAACAAATTGTAGCAAATCATTCATCAATTCACACTTGTATTTTTCTCTTACGATTTTCATCACATACATACTTTCATATTTCGTCGTTCATAAATAACAGTCATTCACTCCTTACAAATTCTTTGGGGTCTTTTTCTGTGACAATTTAGATCATTTAAAATTTTCGTAAATGATTTATCCCCTATCCATTGATATGTTTCGCCAAAGTTTTTAGCATTGAAATTTAGGAATTGACTTTCTATTAAAAAAGAAAACAGAGAAATGTGTAATTAACTGTAAACTTTGCTTCACACAGAAAACTTCTATGAATAGTGCACGGGGATTTTCATTTTTTTCTTGTTTTGTTTCTTTAATTAATTTCTTTTGTGTTTTCATTCGAGGGAGAATTTAATAATTAGTGTTCACATAATGAGTGAGCAATGACGAGTACACACATTATGGATTTTTTTTTCTAATAAAATTAATAGATCAAGTTATAAAAAAAACAACAATAATAAGCAAATACGAAATTGTAATCTGCAATAATATTCTTATCAGTTTTTATTACTTCAATTGTAAATATGAAATTTAATATATTGAATACCAATCTCCTTATTTCTTTTGTTGTTACCGAATCTCGTATTTTTCTTGTTAGCCACCATTTTACTTGTGTATTATCTGTTCTTATAATAAATTTGTTATATACAATATATGGTTCAAATGATAATAAACACTTATATACTGAATACAATTCTTTTCTATTTATTTCCCATTTTATTTCTGTATTATTAAATGTTCCTGAATAATA